ATTAAAAAAAAAAAAAAAAAAAAAAACCCTCAAACAACCCTAAGAACACCTCAAGACCCTAAAATCACAAATCCAACCCCTAAACGAACAAATCTAGCTATTAAACAACCGATTACTTTATCCTCAACCGCCGAGTACTGAGAGAACGCTTGCGATTGCATTCCTTCTCTCCGCTTCTTCATCAGATTCTCCTCTCGCTTGCTCTTTCGAATATCCACCATGTCGTCCTTTCGTCGCCGGCGGCCCTCATCGTTGTCGACGGCGACCTTGTACCGATTTCGGCGGACCTCCGTCCTCTGGCTCGGTCGCAGAGACATCGCTGATTGATCGGAATAGTGGAAACCCTAGAAATTTGATTGGCGAAATCCTAGAGAGGTCTTAGAGTCGAATGGGTCTTTTTGGGGTTTTGGTTTTGGGAATTCGGGCGGGCAAATGGGTTAATAGACACCGCCCATTTAGTGCCCATTTAGTGTAGTTAAAGTGAACCCGCCTAATTAGGCCCATTTAACTAAACGTCTGGGTTTTGAGCGGACCAAGTGATGGGCGGGTCAGGTGGGTAAATGGGCATGGGCAAAAATTGCCTTCCCTACCCTAGCCCAATCCAACTCACCATTTGTGATGTGGTGTTGTGAATGTTTAGCATTAGCTTTATTGTTCTTTTCGGTGAATATTCATATACATGCTGTTGATTGAACTAGCTTATTTTTTCCGTGGTTGGGATATATCTCCCTTTCTCCCTCATGCACCAGCTCCAGCTTGCTTTGTGGACTTCTGTTTCTGTACATGCATCATAATCGGCTACCTGAATAAACAAATGTCCGCTTGCTTTGCATTTTGGATCAGAATCATGTGAAACTGGCAATCATGTTGATTATAATTCTCTCTCAACTCATCCCAGTTAACATCTTCTCACTTTTGCAGGTAATGTAGGCCAAGATTATGCAATTTTTGAACAAGGTGCTTCGGCAGGAAATGTAGGAAATGAGAAGCTCGTAGAAAAGAAGAGAGCAAATCCCACAGCTTTACTCCTGTCATCTGCCATGATGTTGAGGCATCTTCAGTTCCCTTCGTTTGCAGATCGCTTAGAAACTGCTGTTATGAAAGTTGTCGGCGAAGGGAAGTGCAGGACCAAAGATTTGGGAGGAGAGAGTACAACCCAAGAAGTTGTTGATGCCGTCATTGCGGCTATAGACTGAGCACTTTTCTTAGTAACAATTTTGGTTTTTTCCTTCCCCCTTCCGTCAAAGAGACTGTTTGTCTGTTTTCCTTTGCCATTTTTAAGGAGCAGCAGCTCTGAATTGTTTTGGTATTAAATAAATATATATAAATATATACATATCTAATGCAAAATAACAGATTGCAGTTCAAGAACTGAACCAAATTTCAAGCGTAAATGCGTTTTGTTGCTGTGTAATGCAAAATTGAAATAGTTAAATAGAGGTTTTTGTTTTGTGTTTTCAAAATTTTCTTGGTTTTTGAATTTTGCTACATTTTCTCCTTCTGGACTCTTGATACAGGAGAGTCATACTATAGGTAATGAAATAGGAATATTGCCTTCGAGTAGGGTGGTTGATGTTGAAAAGAAAAAAAAGAAAGAAAGAAAGAAAGAGACAAAGATGGTAAAAAGCAGGAAAAAATTAAGGGGAAAAAGAATCTGGCAATTCACTTCACTGATATCTAGAAATGAAGCGTATTTCTCAAAGTGATTTGTCAACCAATCCCATTGTTATTTCTCTCGGGTGAGTACTTATTGTCACTAGTATAGTGCACGTGCGTTGCACGTTGTTGGATTAATTTTATGTTTATCTTTTTTTTATAATAAGTTTGGTGTTAGGTGTAATTTGAGGATTTTTTGCTATCTTTTTATCATTAAAATCCTAGAGTAAACATAATCTTTTATGAGTTTTATTTGTGACATTTCAAGGTCCTTTCTGCAAATTTTATAGCATATCTGTAAAATTATGAAGTTTCAGGGTTATTTTGCAAATTTAAAGGTTTACTCTATAATTTTTCTAAAATTTTAGTTTTATGAAACCAGAGCTTTCCACAAATTTAAAGGTTTACTCTATAATTTTTCTAAAATTTTAGTTTTATGAAACCAGAGCTTTCCAATAAAACTTATGGAATACAAATTTTAGTTTTATGAAACCAGAGCTTTCCAATAAAACTTATGGAATACCTGAAAGACATTATTCAATTAGTGAACCTAAAAAGCATAATTCTATTTGTTTTATAATTGAACATAATGTATGACGTTTATAATTTAGCACATGCTGGGGTTTTTTATTCACAAATTTATAATATAGTTATACCATTATGCATGATAAATAATATATTGACTGTAAAATATTAATTTAAATATTTTGTATTCATATGAAAAACTTTAAGTTCTATGACAACTAAGAACATACTCTATCAGAGCTAAAAAATTAACCAAAATCTATATAGTCCTCTAAAAAGATTTAATCAGAGCTTCTTCAATTGTTAAGAACAAACATCATCAAAAAAAAGTTATGGGGTCTTACAGTAATGTGTGTCATTATTTTGCTCTAACAATATTTTTTAGTTGAACCTACAAATTTCAATCAGACAAAACTTTTTGTGAAGGATGGATTTTGCAACTCAGTATATGATTTTTTAAGGAACCATCATGATGGGTATGACCAAAGTATATCCTCAGTTTAAAGTTAATTTCCACAATAGCAGACTAAATATTATTTGATATTAAAATTTTTAATCTTTTTTCTTCGTTACGCCAAAAAATATGGACTGCTATGTGCATATTATGCAGTGCTAAAGATCTTTGCATATACATAGTAAGAGCATAACCTAAAACTATCAAACTCATTTATATGAATACGGGAAACTACTCTTTGTTTCTTCTTCAATTATTCATCTTACTTGATTAGTTGGAAGTGAAGTAACTTGATGTGTTATTTTCAGAATTTAGTCTTAAGACCTTGAGCTCTAAATAATACACATATGTCATGAAGCCTTACTTTATATTTAGCTTATTTCGAAATCTTACTTTATTAGTGTTAATAATGAAGTAGGAAATTATACTTAAAAGAGAATTCATAGAAAATTTTAAACAAATTAGTTGTGATTTATAGTGGCTAGTATAAAGATAAACAGTTGAAACATTCTCTATGATTATGGTAGTGATCATTAGTGAGAATTAAGAAAGAGAGAGTAGGAGATTAATTTGTTATTGGGAGGTTATAAAAATTAAGTATATTTAGTTTCTGCTGAAATTAAAGGATAGTGTTTGTTGGGGGGTACTCTTTTTACCCATTTGCATCATCTTAAGTTTTGATAGCACATTACAACTATAACTTTAAAATAAATTATGTATTTTATTACTTTAAATAAAATATTTTAAGTAAAACATATTTGTTAAATCATGAATTTCATACTTGATTGGGTTTTATGGTTCTCAAAACAAAAAGTAAATACAAACTTCAAAAATCTTGATTCTGCAAATGTGAGGATTTTAAGAAATAGCTATTAATATGATGTCAATCAATCTTGATGATCTATAAAATATGCATTAGGAATTAGTGTACTTCTTATTATTTTGTATATGTATGTGTGTGTATGTCCGCGCACTATAACTTTAAAATAAATTATGTATTTTATTACTTTAAATAAAATATTTTAAGTAAAACATATTTTGTTAAATCATGAATTTCATACTTGATTGGGTTTTATGGTTTTCAAAACAAAAAAGTAAATACAAACTTCAAAAATCTTGATTCCGCAAATGTGAGGATTTTAAGAAATAGCTATCAAAACGATGTCAATCAATCTTGATGATCTATAAAATATGCATTAGGAATTAGTCTACTTCTTATTGTTTTGTATATGTATGTGTGTGCGTGTGCGCGCGCGCGCGCGTGTGTGTATGGAGGTTTGATGATGGTTGTTCTTAACAATTGAAGAAGCTCTATTTAAGTCTTTTTAGATTGATTTTTTAGCCCTATTAGAGTATATTGTTATTTGTTATAAAAGTTTTATTGATTCCATAGAAGGAATTTGTAGATAACAATCTATATTAATCTGAATTTGATTAGTTGTTATGGATCATGCTAAAAAAATATAGGTATGTAAACATATTAATTTGTTAGATGTTTGAAAGTTCCTCCGCTTGGTGCAGAAATGTTACACTTGTAAACAAATAAGAAAAATCCAACCTACAGGGATTGACCAATGAAGACATAAATTATAATAAGTCAAATCAAGCCAAGAGAAATTTTAATGGTAAAAAATCAATTGAAACATTCTCTTTGAGTATGGTAGTGATCTTTAGTGAGAATTAAGAAAGAGAGAATAGGGGATTAATTTGTTATTGGGAGGTTATAAAAGATAGAGAAATAATCTTTCACTATAAATCATGCTAATCTCATCATGTTATAATAAGAGATAGTAAGTAGTGATTGGTTGTGGAGAGAATGAAATCCAAATAGGCAAAATCGGGACAAAGAGACGTTCAAGGATTTGAGGAGGTGCAATGGAGATGATGAGGGTGCATATGATGTATTCATTTTTGTAAGAGATTTGTTATGATTTATAGTGGTTTAGTAAGAAGATGGATGGTTGTAACATTTTTTTAATTATGATAGTGATAATTAGTGAGAATTATAAGAGACTAATATGTTAATGGGAGGTTATAAAAATATAAACAACTTAGTCATGGTAAAATTATTTTAGGGGTTATGAATAATAATGCATTTAATTAGGGGTTATGTATGTATGTATGAGGTATGGTTTATGTATAGATGCATGTGTTTTATGTATGCATGTATGTGTTTTAAACAAATAAGAAAAATCCAGCCTACAAGGATTGACCAATAAAGACATAAATTATAATAAGCCAAATCAAGCCAAGAGAAAATATAAAAAACTAGTTGAAACATTCTCTATGATTATGGTAGTGATCATTAGTGGGAATTAAGAAAGAGAGAGTAGGGGATTAATTTGTTATTGGCAGGTTATAAAAGATAGAGAAAGAATCTTTCACTATAAATCATGCTGATCTCATCATGTTATAATAAGAGATAGTAAGTAGTGATTGGTTGTAGAGAGAATGAAATCCAAATAGGCAAAATCGGGACAAATAGACGTTCAAGGATTTGAGGAGGTGCAATGGAGATGATGAGGGTGCATATGATGTATTCATTTTTGTAAGAGATTTGTTATGATTTATAGTGGTTTAGTAAGAAGATGGATGGTTGTAACGTTTTTTTAATTATGATAGTGATAATTAGTGAGAATTATAAGAGACTAATATGTTAATGGGAGGTTATAAAAATTTAAACAACTTAGTCATTGTAAAATTATTTTAGGGGTTATGAATAATAATGCATTTAATTGGGGGTTATGTATGTATGAGATATGGTTTATGTATGGATGCATGTGTTTTATATATGTATGTATGTGTTTTAAAGAGCATTTTCGGAAGAAATGTTTTAACATACCAACACACTTTTATAACTGTATTAGATTAGATAGGTAGCGAGACGTAGGTAGTTCTCACTAGGTACTTTATGAGGTTAGATTGAAATTTCAATTTCATGCCCAAAAATCATGTTCTCGGACAAATAATTTTAATATTTTTTCTACAAGTGAAATGAACTTAAATATCGAACCATCAGCTGCATTACGAGATTTTATCATGTGACGAGAAAAGTTAACAAGAATAGTTGAGTAATTTACCAGATAATCAAATTGAGAATTAGCTGCATTATGAGACCTTATCATATTAGGTGGAAACGAAATTACTTGCCGATAATTTTGACATTTACGAAAAAGAATCAGAGTAGTTCCTCACTCGGATCACTTGATATTGCTGGTAATCATCTGATGTCAAGAAGGGAACCACTAAATAAGATTGGTGGAGAAGGATCCCTTTTCTCTTGTACTAGTATGTTATCCAGTGCTAAGCAGTAGCATAACTTCATGTTTCGCTATCTTATTTAATAAGACACACCGAAAACGCAATTATCTTTTCTAAAATCTATCGCATACTATTTTAACCTCTTCCAATTTTAAGTCATACCTCCCTGTTTTGATACGTCGATTTTAAAAATAATTCAAAAACACATTTATGTATTCTGATATCTATCTTATCTTTGTAGGAATGTCATATGAGTATGTTGATAGTATTGTCAAGACGAAGCTAGTATTGTTACCAAATATTATACATTTAAAAATCATGATTTAGAAAGAACTCCAAATAATGGAAAAGTTCCCTTAAATTGTTGATATATATTTTTGAGATTTCTTTATATAAGAAATATATTTATTGTATATATTAACATTATATCATTTTTGTTAAAACTACTACTAAATTAATAACAGTTCTTCCTCGATAAATGCAATTTC